CCCCGCGCCCTGCCCCGCCGAAAGCAAAAGTTCACGCCGTGTCACGGCGCCGGCCCCGGGCGAGGAGGAGGGAGCGCGGCTCCTCCCGGCCCCCCCCGGCCGCTCGGTGCGGAGGTTCCGCCGCCGCTGCGGGCACTGCGCGGCTCCGGGGTATCCGGGGGGAGCCGTCGGGGGACGGGGATAGGACAGAGGCAAACAGCGATGGGGAAAGAGCAGGGGCAGGACAAGGGTTGCAGAAGTGCCGTGTGTTTAATGAGTAAGCGCTGTGTTTGTCCCGGTGGCTGCGCTCAGCTCGCTTTGCCGGAGCATGTGTCCTTTCAAACATTGGGACGGAGCTTCCTGCGATCTCGGTGCGGCCAGCAGCGGGCTGCCGGCGGGAAACCTGTTGATTTTGGTGCTTTCTGCTCAGCCCCTCCGCTTCCCGACCTCACCCACGCGTGCGGTGCGCACCGCGGTGCCGACGCGCGGAGTTTGCGGCAGCGCTGCGTGTGAGCGGCCGGAGCCCCAAACCTCCTCTTCCTCCTCCTCCTCTTCTTCCTCCTCCTTGTAGGGATGGCACAGCTCTGCCCTACTCCTGGCTCCGCACCGGTTCAGGCGAGCCCTGCGAGCCCGTTCTTGAGTTTTGCTCCCTTCACCTTCTAGTATCTCTAATATTCACTTTTTTTTTTTTTTTTTTTTTTTTAAGCTCAAATCCTGTGTTTATATATTGTAATATATTAATTGCATGCCGAGGAATGATTATTCCATCTGATTTTTGTAGATTTTGTTATTTTGTGCAGGTAAGCAGCACCCTACTAAAGAAAAATAGGTGAGGATCTCAAGCTCCTTTTTGGTGGAAGGTTCTTAAAGCTCTTAAAAGTAATTTGTTAGTTCCTATCTATGTGTTTGACTATCAAATGTAAAGAATAATTGTCTCAAGACGTCTTTCACGAGAAAGCCTCCCTAGGAGAGGGATTGATGGGTGACAACTTTGAGACAAGGGAGCTCAGAACTTAAAAATGCTGTGTTCTTTTTCACTGGTATTTTGGTCTGCTGGAAATAAGGCAAACTGCATTTGCATGACGAGCAGAAGAGACTTAAAACAGACAAAATTAAAGCAAAGAGTTCCCCAATTCAAGCAAGCAAAAGCGAGCTTCTCCTAGCTGCCCGACTTATGAGGTGTTTCTTTTTTGTTACTCTTCTTCCTGTTTTGGTTCAGCAACTAATAGGGCTCACACACCTCTTCCTATTGCCTGCACATCTACGCTGTGCAGTACCAGTGCAGAACTGGGGTGCTGGGGGATGTGGTACCCTGGAAGTAGATGTGTCCTGCCCAAGCCTTGCTGTGCATGCCCTCCTTTTGACAGGCTGCTTGGCATGATGCAGGATAGCACTATAGCACTGGTGCTGTGTTTTGCAGAGCACCTTTATGGGGAGGGTTTAAGGGCAGCCCCCAGTGCCAGCCCCTGAGGAGTGCAGCCCCTGCAGCGTGCAGCCCCTGCAGCACCGGGAGCTTGGTTCAGCCCAGAGCAGGGCTTGGAAGATCAGGAGCTGCAGGTGCCAGCAGAGCAGAGCATCACCTGCAGCACAGAGCCAGCAGGAGGGGTGCGGGTCTGACCTAAGAAGTGGTGTGCTGCTGTTTGGCAGCCTGAGAAAGAAAGCGTTATCTTCTTTCCTTCTCATAAATAAGGCTTCGTCTTGTTGCAGCCTGCTGATTTGGGAGGGTAAACAAGGCACCTTTGAAATCATACACGAACTCTATGAAATACACAGCAGAACGAGCACCTCGTGCCCAGTGGCATGCTTGTGTTTGTCACCCGGAAGAGGAGAGCTGTACTGCTTGTGAACATGTGTGGCCCCTGCTTAATGTCTACAATTCAACTGCTTTTATTTTTCCATTGTATGAAGAAGTTCAGAGGTGTTGACATAATCTACTGGGAGCTTGAAATAGCACTGAATTTCTGCTGAGTGAAAATGTCATTTTTAATAAGGGTAGAAGGCAAACGCGGTAACATGAATTTATCACTGTTAGCTCAAAAAGTAGGTAAAGTTGTTCTCAGCTGTGGAGAAAGCGGTTCATTACAGACTGTCTTAGCACAAACTACTCTAAAAACCAAAATCTCCATTAAGCACGGAGAGAACAAAATGGGGAACTCATGGCTGGAGTGGATGGAGTGCTCACAGTGTGCCCTGCCCAACCTGCTGCAGTACAGGACATGGGCACAGGCTGAGTGCATGCAGCCCTGCTCAGAGAAGGCTGAGGCAAGAACAAGATTTGCTTCTGAAATAGCTGAGAGATCATTGTGAAAGTTGCGTGGAAGAGTGAAACTTTGATCACAGCAGTCAAGTGAAAGCGTTGTTTTCTTCTACCTGTGCTAGTGGGAGACTGCATGTGGGGCTTAGGGCAGTTTTTAGGCCTCGAAGAGCCTCATGACAGCCATGGATTGGTTTCTTTTTACTCAAATCTGATAACTTCCTGGCTAATTACCATGTGCACAGAGTGAAACTCCTTTGTGATGGGCATATGTCATAATGTTTTTGCTCAATGTCAGAATCGTGATCTGTTGTAAGGGAGCCATCAGACTTAGGCTTTGTTGAATGGTCTCAGTCTTTTAGCCAGCTACTGAGAATAGGTCCAGATCACAATATCACAACCTGTGGTATTACATTGGCTTTACTCGGTAATTATTTGGATAGAGATTATTAGATTATTAAGCAGAAAATGCAGATTTTTGGCACACCCATCTCAAGGTGGCCATGATGGTTGTTTTTCCCTATGGGAGGTGTTAAGGTGGCACATGTATTTACACCTTGTCGACTTCTAGACCCAAGGAAACTTGATCACCCAAATTTATTTGTAGCCATTGCTGAAGGAATGAGGCTAGATGGTATCCAGCTGCAGGAGGATGAATGGATGTCAGCCTGAAGGCCCAAGGACTGATCTGGTGGGGGGGGGGGAGGGCTTTGGGTGGCCTCCTCGTAGGCATGCTTAATGATCACGATTCTTCTGCAGTGAATTGGTCCCCATACAAAATCAGTGCTGGGGTGTGGTATGTTTGAGTTGAAAGCTACTCGTGTGTTATCGAGTGCTGGAAAGCTCTAGGAAATGAAGAGCCGTCTTCATGGTTGTCAAAAGCTTTTGATTTTACATCGGGGAATAACTGTACAGTGCTCAAGTGTTTAAAGTGGAACAAGGAGGTCTTGGTGAGGTTTTTGTTGTGCATTTCTGTTTCAGTGTGGAAATGTCACTTTAGCTGAAGACTGCCTTGAGAAATTGCTCTGTGTTCTCTCAATGCTGGTTATGTACCTGCAAGTGTTTAACTCTGTCCCTTTCTGCTGAGACTACATAGGTAAAAGCTTTCCTGGGAGACTTGCAGACCCCCTGGCATCGCACACTGTGTTATGCATACGTACAACACACACATGGATGTACATCTGCATATGTCTATTTATTTATCTCTTGTGATAAATCTTACCACAGCCGTGCTTTTGTACACACGACGCTAGCAATAGCCTAAGAACTGGGATGTTGCCCTCTCTGCCTGCCCGAGTCACCAGCTCCAACTCTGCTTACTAAAGGAGAAGCTCCATTTTTGCAGGTGTAGGGTGCCTGTTCCTTCCTGTCTAATGGTGAAGCTCCTCAAATGCTTGTTCTTTTCAAGCTGCGTTCTCTTTACCATCTACATTTGCCTTTCAGACTTAGGCCTGACAGAAATAAGCCCTGCTCTGGGCTTTGGCCCTCCTGCTCCTGCCCTGTGTTCCAGACTGGTACAGCCTGCTGCTCCTGGACTCCCAGCCTCAATTCTACGCTGAAAAAATATTTTAGCTTTATATTTTAGGTGCTTTTTTTTTTTTTTTTTTAAATAAGACTCCAGAAATGACGTACTCCTGAGATAGATGTTTGTTCAGATTCTCTCCAATCTCTAAAACGTACCGCTACCTAAATATATGCAGCTCTGTTGACACAACTGGTGAATATTTTGCAAAACGACTGCTTTCCTTTTGGAGCAAAAGCGCTGATACAGTTTGCAGCCACAGATTTGTGAAATATGTAGTGCCATTGCCACGGCCTACAGAGGTTCAATCTTCAGCTTCTTCTGCTTTGGGAGAAGGTTAGTGTTTGAAGCAGGGATTTCTCCTGGAAATGATTTTGTAACCTTGGGTGGTGAACAGTGAAATAAGAGATACCGAAGGTACCTCATAAGTAGCTGCTTTTCCTCTTTCAGAGTTATGCAAAATGTAGATCGATCTACTTTATCGTTAGGTCCTATGAAGAAGGAACTTAAAATTCACTGATCCTGACAGCAGCTAACTATAGTTAAGCATATGGCGGTGCATACTAATATTGCAGTGAATTTTGTAGCATTCTGTGTGTAAGTTTGGTGTGCCAATGTGAGTTTTAAATGGGGGGAAACACTGCTTTTTGTGATGACAGTCTGCACGTCAGAAATGGATGAAGTTTGCTGGGAAGAGTTGTGTTTAGAACAAAGTCTGCTGCTGCACAAAGAGCTTCGGCATGAACTGCATTTATCTCGGAGGGCAAGTGCTGTTCACATTCAAGCATTACTTCTAAATATATTTGGTGAATGTTATTCGCATGTGTTCATCAAACAAAGCTGCTTCGTTCCTGCGCTTTAGTTTGTAATATGCAAACATCTTCAGTTACTGTAGCAGCCACAGGTCTCCATTCCTAGTGTAGGAGGGGGAGGAGTAATGAGAATGAAGTCAACTGCTGCACTGTATTGATGATTATCTCAAATGAAGCACTTCATTAGACCTTGTGCTAGATTCTCGTAGTGGCTAATGATCTCTGCAAAATAATATCTGAGGAGGCAAATGTATTTGCTTCAGAAACATTCTGTAGTAACTGGTGAAGACTTAGGAGTG